TATCTATTACATTTTAGTCCTGAGGGGAGCTACACCGATGATGCAAACCAAGAAGTTCGAAGCCCACCCCAACAGCACGGCCCCCATAATGAATTTGATGACGAGTTTGAAGATGACGATCCTTTGCCAGCTATAGGACATTGTAAAGCTATCTACCCGTTTGATGGTAAGGTTAATTGGACTGAAGTCTGCGTAATAGGATAAATGTGAGCGACCTTGAATCAATCCAGGATGTTTCTTGAGTTTTCATTGTTCAACGAAACACGATTCGTAGCGTTAGAGCAGGGGTCTTCAAACTTGGCAACTTTAAGACTTGTGGACTTCAACTCCCAGAATTCCTCAGCCAGCCAGGAAATTGAAGTCCACAAGTCTTAAAGTTGCCAAGTTTGAAGACCTCTGCATTAGAGTATTACACTATAAGAACAATGGGAACTCAAAACAAGGCCTTTTAATTTGCCACAAAAGTAGGGCTAGTCTCTGCCAAATGCACCAAATTACCCAAGTTGCAGAAATACCGGCATCTCTGGTTGTTGGCTGGAGGCCTCTTCCTAATGCATAGTACACTTGGTAAGGTTGTATTTATATTTCAACTAACTTGAAAAACTCAACAAACTCAACTGGGCAACATGAAAGCTCAGCAGCATAGCATTACTAGCTATAAGGCATGTTTATTCATTTGACAGCCTGTCTAAGAAAGCATTATCCAAGTTAATGCTACCCATGACTTGAACACTGGGCGCTATCTAGCAAAATGAAATTCAGTGGTGAAAAAAGTAAGGTTCTACATTTAGGCAAGAAAAACCAAATGTACAGGTATAGTATAGGGGGTACCTTGCTCAATAGTAGTAACTGCGAGAGGGACCTCGGAGTCCTAGTGGACAATCACTTAAATATGAGGCAGCAGTGTGCCGCAGCTGCCAAAAAAGCCAACACAGTGCTAGGCTGCATTAACAGAGGGATAGAATCAAGATCACGTGAAGTATTAATACCACTTTACAATGCCTTGGTAAGGCCACACTTGGAATACTGCATCCAGTTTTGGTCACCACGATGTAAAAAAGATGTTGAGACTCTAGAAAGAGTACAGAGAAGAGCAACAAAGATGATTA